ATTCAGCGTGAAAAACTACATCAAAAAACAAATACACTTTAGAGGAGTTTTTTTCCTCCGAAGAACTGATCCCTGACAGACCACAGGTGATTTTTTTTTTCGTAGGAGAAACTTTTCTCTAAAATATATTTGATTCAACGTAATTTTCCATGCTGATTCAGAATATTGCAATAGAAATCGCTACGGATGTTTTTTTTTCTACTGAAAAATCATCTTGTAAAAAATAGATGCGAACGCTGTTTCATCCGAAGGTACCATTTATTTTCGAATATTTTTTTACTATTTTGTAGAGAACAAAATGGTTGTATAATGGTTATAAAATTCAGCTTGAAAATCTGATTCTGAATCCTGACAGAAGATTAGCTATTATCAAGTGACTTCGTTGAAACGAAAATGAGCACAACTTTTACAGAGTATTTTTTTTTTGTTGTCGTTTTTTTCTCATAATGATTTGATAGTGGTAAAAAGTCGATGGTTTCGGCCTTCGACGTATTGAATGCACAAAAAACAATAGAGATTTTTTTCTTTTGATCGAGTACCTCATGTACTCGACGGTCTTATGATTCGTCTTTTAATTACTTTAGCTAATGGTTTAATTCTAATCAGATCATTTTTAGTTTGAGTTTCCCAATAATTTTGTTCATTATCATCAGCTATAGGTGCTGAACTAATTGGTATTTGTGGATATTGAATAGTTGAATTAAAATATTTTTGTGTTAATAATTTTTTTTGACGTTCTTTTTCTTCAGCTTCATTTCGAGATAATGTCAAAGCTAATTGAAAAGCATCTTCATCTTCAATTTCATCTTGGTCTTTTTCTTTTGGTTTAGTTATTGATAAATATTCTGGACGAATACTACCAGTTCTATAGGAAAAACAAAAGATTTTTTTATAGAAATTACTATAATACATTTATCTTACGTTTGTACACGATCATAACATTCTATACAAACTCGTACATCATCTTCAATACCATATTCAAGTAAAGGACATTGCCTTGATGAGCCTATTTTAAACAAAGTAATAATAATAATAATTAAATTCATATGTTAGATAGGAAATAAATTACGAACATGCTGCACAAAGTGTTTCACCACAAGCACGACAATGATGTTTTCGAGTAAATGCTGAAAATGATGTATGACAACGAAAACAATGATCACGATCAGTCCTAAATAGCAAAAGAACAAAAAAACAAGGAAATTTTTAAATAAAAATTTAATAAATTTTATATTCTAACCATAGTGGTGGTATCAGTGTAATTACCATTGTTTTGTTATTGTCGAAAGATATTTAGATAAATGAGTAAATGATTGATTGACTAACTGACTGATTATATTATTCTGGGTTAAGAAATTATTTGGTTGGAGAAGTATATTGACCAATAAAACGATTTCAAGATAATTTTATTTTTATTGCTTTTTACGTAAAATTTTTATCTTATTTTATAGGTGAATGCCAACACAACCTGTTACATTTGTTTGTCGTTTTTGTTATTCAACAAATCATTCTTTATATCCAGTTCGTCTTTATTGTATAAGTTTACATGAAGGTCTTATTATGTGTGCAAATCAAAATTGTACAGGAATTGTTAATGGTCATGTTGATCTTTTAAAAATGATTCTACCTATAACATCATCAACAACACAATTAACATACGAACAATATCAAAAAACACCCTATTATAGTTCAGAATGTGATTTTCTTGTGACAGATATACCATCAGAAATATAAAGAATTGTTTTCTTTTTTTTTTACTGTAATATGTTGTTGTTTTTTGTTAATTTCGAAAATATTTTAGATAAAAAAAAAATATGAGTTTAATGTTGAATGATGAAGTGGCTTTAGGAAATGATGTTCGATATAAAAGTTTTATTGTAGCTATTGAAAAAGTTCTTAAACAATTTGAATCATCAACGGAATGGGCTGACCTTATTACTAATTTAGTCAAAGTTAAAAAAGTAAGATTTCATCGAAGAATGTCATATTTATAAATGATTAATTTAATCATATATATGATAATCATTTTCATCTATCGGTATTCGAAAGTAGAACTAAAAGTTGAGTATTAAAGATTTATTAAACTTGAGGGATGCGAGTCTAAATTTATATTAATCCCTTACTCATCTTCCTTGGTCACTGGAGTAACTCTTTGTAAAACGATTACAGAAAATTAAGAAAAAACTTTTTTGTTTATGTTGCTCCATCTTTGGAAAAAGATGAGTTATAAAATTGATAAGTTTGAAAAAAACCGCAAAACTTAAATCTTTTTTTAAATAAAATGTTTTGTTTTTTTGTATCAACAAACAAGATATATAATGGAAATATATTATTTGATGTATAACGATGACAATGTCTACTACTGATATCAATACTTTTCAAAAATATCACAAAAGCTAGATAGAGAATGATCGCTGCAGATTTTCCGGAAAACTAAATCTTTAGCTCTTCAGTGCCTACAACTCGGATACAAATTTTACTCACATCACATGAAATGATAGAGTAAATCATTCTCTACATTGGTATTTCGTCGAACTAGATCAGATTTACGGAAGTTTTCCAACTGAAACATCGCTTTTTAAGTTGAAACTATGTACATTATGTAGATCTAAATGAGCTATGAATATCCTGAAAATAGTTCGTGCGATTCGCTTATTTCTGTAGAGATCCTGCACTTTACACTTTTTGTAAAATGAATGTCGTAGTAACAAAAAACGGATTTTCGATTTGAAACTTTGCATACAGAATACCTTGATGAGGATGGTTTTTTGTAAATGTTTCAGATCTTGCTGCTATTTCTATCCTAATATATAATTATAATAATAGCGTAGCCACACCCACCCCATAATTTTCGCTGCAATTTACTTTGAATCTTTCTTGAAATATTCTTATCACAATTTATTCAAAATTTTTGTTTTAATCAAAAACAATTTTCTTTTCAAAGACCATAGAAAATTATTCACAATTTCATTCAATACCAAAACGTATAACACTATCAAAACGTCTTGCACAATGTCTTCATCCAGCATTACCATTCGGTGTTCATTTAAAAACTCTTGAAGTATATGAAACAATATTTCAAATAATTGATAAATATCATTTACAACGTGATATTATTTTATATTCATATGGATTATTTTCTTTATTATCTGATGCTGCATTACCTGTTAAACCTATTTTATTAACATTATATGAAACATATTTTTTACCATTAGGTGAAGCACTTAATCCAATATTAACAGGATTTTTAATTGGATTATTTTCCGCATTAGAAGAAGGTGCTGATTATTATAATAGAATTATTATATTACTTGATAATTTAGCAAATCGTATTGATGAATTTTATTTTTATACTTGTATATGGTCAGCTATAAATTTTGTTTCAATAGTACGTTATTCAGCAATAACATTTATTTTAAATCATTTTGATAAAAGAAAAAATATGTCAGATCAAATTTATTTAATTGGTTTATCAATTGAAACAATGGTAAAAAAAGAATAATAATAAAGTGAAAATGTACATAAAACAATAAGAAAATAGTTTCTTTTTTTTTTTAATTTTTAACTAGGTTTCTGCTGTTTGTACATGTCTTCATGATAGTGGACAACCATTAGTTCAACGTTCAATTCTTGATTTTCTTCTTACTTGTTTACCATTGCATAGAAAACTATTATTAAAAATAAATATGGTCAAAATAATTAATGGAACATTTTATATTTTATTACAACGTGATATGACATTAAATCGACGTATTTATACATGGTTTCTTGGTGCAAATCAATTAAGTGAAGATATTACTAATGAACAACATCAAGTCAATGATTTAATTGATTCATCATCTTATTTTGTTACACATACACAAGAAATTTTAATAGAATCATTGAGAAGTTTACTTGAATTGATATCTATGAAACCAACATTAACCATCGTTAAATTAGATAATGATGATAACAAACCGATGACAAGTATTATTGATTCACATCGATCATCGACTTGGACATTAACGAAATTAATTCGCGTACTTCTTATTCTTAGTACGTAAACACAAAAAATTAATTTCATAGACAAGAACTATTGAGATTTTAATATTATACTGTCAAAAAAAAAAAACCACACGATATTTAGTTTTCAATGATTTTTGAGAATTTCGGAATATTCCTGAACAAAAAATAACTACATGAAGTTAGTCTCTACCACAATATGCTCTTTTCCCACAAACTATTGTTTGTACGTTGTTAACTAATCGATATGATTTTTGTTTACTTTCATTTTATGATCATTTTTTTAAATAAATTTCAAAATTGTATAGAACTTACATAAAACTGTTATAATTGTATTGAATTATTTTGTAACTTATACCTAGGTCGAGAAATACGGGTCGTTTCCGACCAGAAAACTTGAAAAAAAATGGTAGGAAATTGGAAGTAGGAATCCGATGGCTCGATTTTTTCTAATTCTGATTGAGACCGAGCATCGAATTCCTGTTTCCAAGTTCCTACAATTTTCTCGAGTTCTCCAGCTGCCAAGCGCATCTTTACAGCTGGAACCTGCTGAAAATTGACAGATCTGGACGGTGGAAATCATTGACCTAGGTATACATTATTCAGTGAAAAAATATTTCTTTTGCTTTATAATCTATGAAGATAAACTATTCAAACATATTTAAGTCAGAAGTTGAATATTGAATAGACAGTAGCTTAACTTTCATCAGGAAAATCTTCATCATAGTTTAATGAACAAGACTAATGTTTGAAAAGATTACAAACTGAAAAATACTTCAATACTTTACAAATTGCAACAAACTATTCTTTGAATAATTAAAAATAAAGCCTGTAACGTGTTTTTACTCTTGATATATACAATTGATGTTAGTTCTTTGATTTACACATCATATTTGTTTGAACAACATAGCTATTGTCTAGTAATACTTCTAAATAAATTTTCTATTATTTTAGTCGACAAACCAGACGTTGGCCCGAATATTATCGAATCTATTTTCATGAATTATTTACTTCTTATTTATGAGCAAGTTTATCATCCATCTAAAAAATTAACATCTATCAATATTCAACAAGAAAATAATTATTCTGAGACATTAAAAACATTCAATATGCTTCTAGATACATTAGAACCCTATTTTATATGGGAATTTTTAACAAAAAATTTCGATATTATTCTAAATCAACAAGAAGATAATAATTTTATTACAGCTAGATCTACTATTGAACAAATATGTGGTATTATTGATATGTTATTAGATATATTTTCATTAGAAAATTCTCTTGACACTCAACTTGAACATTTATCTGAAATGCTTTATCATCTTATACAAATAATAAATGATAATTTTGAAAAATTGACATCAAATCAAATAATATTATGTATAAAATTATTATTAAAAATTTTTAAAAATATTATTTTCACTAATACAAATCATCATTTATCTATATTTCGTTGTTCATTTAATTATCAAAATGAAATATTTGATAATTATTTAACTATTTATAATATTGAAGATGATAATGAACATACAACTTTTATTGATAATGAATATTCAACAGATATTTATAATAAATTATTACGTACAGATAGTATAAATGAATTAGAAAATCCAAATTTAATAATCGAACAAGAGAATTTAAATGATATTGAACAATTACTTCATCAAATGATACATAAAGTTGAAAAACAACTTGACAAATTAAATAATCAATTATTTGATAATAAAAAAAGTCGATTATCAACAAAAACAGTGTTAGAATCAATAAATAATATTGAAAAATCAATAGAATTATATAAGAAATTTTTTCATCGTTTTATTATTACATATTTAATTGATCAGAATCAAGTATTAATAAATGATAAATTTCAAAGTATTTATTCAATTATACAAAATAAAAATAATGATAATCTTTTAATAATTTGTAATCGATATCGACAATTAAATGAATTTCGATTAAAATTAACTAATAATGTTGATCATTATATAATAGCTTTTGAAAATTGTTGTAAATTACTTACTGAATTTTGCTGTTTTCCAATACAATCATCTTTGAATAATCAGTCATTTTTACCAAAAGGTATAAATTATTAAATCATTTTTTTGTTTCAATCAATTGATCTTGTATAAATTAAAGAAATTTCTGTAACACAGAATTGTTAATAAGATCAGCTAATATATACATATATATGCATGACGATTGTATTATTGAATCATTCGTAGTATCTTTTTATTCTGTTTATGTTTTAAGAGAAAATATTACTCGATAACAATCGAATTCAAGTATGCATCACATATTATTGCAAACAGATCTATCTATATTTAGTAGTAAGATTAAAGCATTGGAATTTTTCTGGACGATATATTGATACCTATGCTTAAATTATAATACTATTGAACATCAATAAATGAAACAATATTTTGTATTCTTCTCGTTTCAAACTTTATGTCAACTTTATTTACTTACGTTCTTCGTTTTGTTCTATAATGTCACGTATTGGATATATTTTCTCAAATAGCGAAATCTGAATAGTAAAACCTGATAAAATAGATCCTGACAACACTACGGTTTTTTCTTTTATCTCAATAAAATCACAAAATATCAATTACTCAATGAATACTTTTCGATATTTCTAGTGGTGGCGCGATCAAGGAGAGAAGGAACTATAGGAGAGAGTACCCCTTTCTATTTTTGAAAGTTTGACTACAACTTTCTCTAATTTCGACGAAACTCGGACTATACTTTTCTCTGATTTTGTGAAGACTTTATGTAATGCGACTATGAAATTCTTGACAAACTTCATTACTTTCTACGACAATTCGAAGTATTTTTAAACTACTAAGAGTTTTTTTAGGCAATAGAGTTCTAAATCATTCGTTCAAATTTTTCAAGTGACCACCTGAGCTTTATTATCCGTGACGATAATAAATGAACTTCAAAAGATTTTGAAAAAATTGTCACAAAGGCAGAACTGATTCCAAGCTAAAAGAAATATGTATCATTTTCGGAAGCGAAAAAGATTGAGAAACTTTCCTCACCTAAACACAAAAACTTCTTTTTTGTGCAAGATAATATAGAACTTTTTAGAAGTCTACACACTAATGTTTGATACGAAACAAATGATTTTGAGTTCTGTATAAATTTATGAGTTTGTCTCAAAGTTTGATTGTTATGTAAAAATTGGTCGAAAACAACCGTCTTTTTTGGCACATTCATCATTGCAGAAAAAATTTACAGTACATAACAAGGCTAATGATTGCAGTGCCTCGATTTATGAATTTCAGACAGGTTTTAGCCGGAAAGTTTGGAAGCAGAGAAATCTGATGATTAGATCTGGTAGCCGAATTTTTCTAGTTTTGGGCACCAGATTCTTACTTCCTAGTTTCTACTATTTTCCCAAGTTTTTCAGTCGAAAACCGATCCTTATTTCTTGGCCCCTTGATCTGGATCGATCCAATTTCGACTGCCTCAGGACGGTAATATGTCTTTGATTTTCAAAAATGCTTCCGTTCTGCTTTGATCTCTACGCATACGGTCTGAAAATAAAACAAAGTTCAATCGTTTTCGTTTTAGGTAAAACTGATTTTGACGATTGGTCAATGGATATATGTGTTCTATCATTATGTATAAGTGATCATTTTTCTCTTCAAACGATTGCAATATCTGTTTTAATTGAATTATTTGGTTATACATTAAGTTTATATAGTTCAAATAAAAAAAATTCAATTGATATTCTAGCTAATAATCAATTAATTATATCATCATTTACTTACGAACAAGTATTATTACTTATAAATGAAACTGAATTTTTTCAATATATAATTGCATATTTTTGGGAATATTTAAATGATAAATATGATCGAGAATATAATTTAAAAGCTTCACATATATTATCAATACTTCATTCAATGTTACCAAATAATTTATGTGAAGATTTAATATATAATCAATTATCATTAATAAATATTCAACAAATTGAAATTGATATAAAAATTATTGAAGAATATAAAAAATTTTTTAAATTATGGAATTCAATTCGTAATATTCCTCATATAAAAAATGAACATATAACAAAATCATTTCAACATTGTTTAATTTATATTTTAAAAATACTTAAAGAATCAAATGATTATTGTTTAAAATCCATTGTACAAAAATGGACTTATGATTGTTTTACTCATGGTAAATAATTATAAGAAAAAAAAAAAAAGAATATTATTTAAATATACAATATCTTAAAAATTTCTTTGTAGGAGATGTATGTCGAATATTTGATATACTTCTTATTATGCTTTTACATTCAGATACAGCACGTGTTAGTATACAACGATTTGATCCAATTATTCATAAAGAATTTTTTCTTGATCAACAAATCAACATTAATGAAATAAAATTTTCTATGATACCTGATGATGAAAATAATGAAGATTATGATGATGAATTTGTACATGATGATAAAGTTCAAGAAGAAGAAACTGATCATGATAAACGAGTAAGATTTTATCATAGCAAAAACATATTTGATTGAAATAAACTTTCTTTTTTTTTTCTTTCTTTCTCATTAACAGATTCGTGCAATTAGTTCTATAAATCTTAGTGAATCTATCGATCATATAAAATCTTCTCCACAAATAATAAAATTTCCAACTATTTCAAATCTTTCACAACCAATTCTTTCCAATATTCGTTCACTTTCACCACCAACATTATTTAAATCAGTTAGACAACGTAGATCTACAATACAAACTGTATTTAATCGAAATAATATTCAATTTGAATCAAGTAATAATACTATTATTAATAACTCATCTCATTCACATTCTATACCAAATAGTAGTATCATAAGTGAATCTAATTTGTCACAAATAAATGATTCTATGGATTTTCAATATGCTTATATTTTACTTTATACACAACCTTATGATCATAATCGTATAATATTATCTTTAAATATAATCGATAGTTTATTTGATCTTATTCCACAACAACTTATTCAAACTTTATTAATAACATCAAATATTCAATCATTACCAATTAGTATACATAATAAACAAATGCATGAATTATTTTTAAAACATCGTCGTTCTATTGAAGGAAATGATTTTGATTTATCTAATAAAAATACTCAAGAATATCAATCATATTTATATTTATTATTAAATATACTTTTAATCTATACATATAGTTATCATCCAAAATATTTTGATATTCAAAAAAATCGTATAATACATATACGTTCATTAATATTATTAACACGAATATGTCATGATTTATCATATATATGTATGGATAATACAATGTTAATAAATTATATAATTAATTTATTTAAAAAACTTTCATTTCAAAAAATAATTTTATGTTTATTTAATAGATTTATAAATAAAGAATCTGATTTATTAAAAATAAAACTAATATATGATTATAATAATGAATTATTAAATGATCAATTAACAAAAGAATATTTAAAACAATTAATTCATTTATTAGAAGAAATTATTTTACTTGAAAATATTATTTATTCAATAGATATAAATTTAATTGATCAATTAACTATTAATCAAACAATTTTTCTTTCAACAATTTTACAATATTTAAAACAAATTCATTCTATTGAAAATCATCATTATATAATTAATTTAATTGTAAGAATATTACCACATTGTGGTTCAGCATTAAAAACAATAAGTATTCGTGTTATTGAACAGATTTGTCGAAATTTAACTTTTGTTGTACAATATTATAGTCAACAAGAAACAAAATTTGAATTCAAGTAAGAATTAAAATTTAAAATATTTCAAAAGAAATTTCGATTTTTGACAAATTCCAGAAACTCAATTAGAGAATCATTTTTCAGATACTATTCTTTATTTATTGAGATTCATGTTTTGAAAATGAATAGTAGTTGCAAATAAATTAACTGAATATATCTACATGTATGCAACAATGATTTGAGAAAATTGGAAAAAAAAAAGTAATTTTATTAATTGTATGAAACAATATTTTATAGTAGGAAAGATGGAGCTTACTTTTAAAGATTATAAAAGAAGTTCAGTCAAAAGAAAAGATGCACGATTGACTACACTTTTTCCTGATTGGATTACTGCATTTATTACAGCGCAAGTTTTCAGTAACTTCCTTTTATAGTTCTTTGAATAGTTACATATGAAATCCACAGAAATGAGTTTGATTCGATAATAAAATATGTATAGCTTTATTTGAACATATCATAAGGGAAAAATGAACATAAGATGTACATAAAGTCAATATTTGATCAAAAATTCGAACCTTATTTTGCACGACTACAATCGGAACTATTTTACAAATTTCGAAGCACAATAGAATTTTTAGAAGATTCTAGAATATCTCAAAACCTTTCTTAGAGTTTATATGGCTGAAATATGTTATTTACGAATGTTCTAAATAGCGCGCAGTATGTGATTTTTGCATAGATAAACAATTACATGATAGATGGCAAGGATGGTAAGTAGTGTTGTATTGATTTGGAAATAATCAATAGCAGTATTTCAGACTTTATCAAGATGTAGAATAACACGTTGAGATGTCTTGTGAATATAATGGATGTATGCCAAAGGCTTTATTTGTCAGCTAAATCAATGGTTAGAATCATCATAATATTAAATTAAGAAAGACACAATACAAAATAGAAAAGTGACAAGTAAATAAGAATAATGCAAATAAAAATTGGAGTGCTAGAAAAAAAAATTCTGTTCAAAATGTAGAAATAAATAAGACAGATGGTTTTTCTAATGATTGATTATCGTTGGAAAATATCTAAATTTGAGCTCCATAGGGTTTGTGTTGGCAATTTTTTTAATTTTACGCAATAGAATTTCTAATATTGGTATCTGAGGGAGGATAGGAGAATACTAGAAAGTCTGAGAGTTTCACAATAGGCCGGTTTCATTGAGAACTTGCTCTTGTATAAAGTTTGAACTCGAAAGTCGATTTCAAAAGTTATCCGAGGAGAAGCATGATAATTTGTTGAAAAACTCACTAAAACAGTAATAAATCACGGAGAAAGATCCATAAATACAAATCCTTTTAGACTTTCTCTAGTTCCAATAGAATCTATTACTATTGAGCTCAGACTCATATTAAAAGCGATTTATCATTTAATGAAGTTCTTTCGTTAGTAGTACACGTAGAGACGTGATATTCAATAAAAATCTTCTGATTGTCAGTACAAGAAAATTTTCTTTAATTGTAGACAATTATCTTCATTTGATGCAATCGATTATATCATCGATTTAATTCAACGTCTTTCATATATATGTAATTATTGTATTGGTAATACAGTTCATAATACACAACATTTTACTCAAACATTGTGTCCACAACATTGGATAAAAAGAGTAAATTAATATTATATTTAATTTAAAAAAATGTTGTGTTTTTTAGATAAAAATTAATACAAATGATCTATCTGATGCTCGTCAATCAATACTAAATAAACTTCCATTAATCCTTTCAAGTCTTTTGTTTATATGGAAAACATTATCAATAAATCAAATTAATTCAATATGGTTAGCTAAGAATATTAAACTTATTCGAGATAAAATAATTGAATTTATTTCATCATTAACAAAATCAAATGGTGTTTCATTTCTTCGTGCTATTATATTATGTTGGGGTGAACGTAAACAACAACAACAACAACAACAACAACAAAAACCATCTATAATACAAAGAGATAATGTTAATGAAATACAAGCATTAATTGATATTCTTATGAATATAAATAATTATACAACAAATGATATCATCTATAATATGAACAAACTTTTACGAAATTTATCAACAACGAATAATAAAGTAAAATAATTGAAAATGAAATTTTCTTTTTTTTTCTCTACTATATTCTATTTAGAAAAAACAAAATTATATTGTTTGGTGTCTTCAATTTCTTTTAGCTTATTTAGAACAACAAAAAAATGTTTCTATTGATTGTTGGTCAATATTAGCTATTATGTTTAAAGAATGTTTATCACCATCAATGTCATCATCAGTTACATTTTTAATAATAAGGTTCAATAATGAAGTCTTTTAAAATTTAATTTTTAGTTATTTTAATCTATTTTTGTAGAATATTAAGTTTTTATGTTAAACAATCACCATTTATGGTTGAAAAACGAGATTTAAAAGACTTACAAGTATGTATTATTGTATATTTTTTTTATTAAAAGTGTATATTCTAAACATATTTTTGACTTCATTTTTTTTTACATAATAAAACACTAAAGATTTAATAATTTTGAAAATAAAATGTTAATCTAGGTTTTATTTTGCCAAGACAAAAACTATAAATTCTTTAGTGATGAATTAAATCTTCGAAAGAATATCATTCTTCTGATCTCGTTGCAGTTCAATCATTCATTAGAGTAGAATTAAAGAATTCATGAGTGACAATAATTGAATTTTATTAAGGATAGAGCTGTGTAGATTTCATTTAAGTTCGATATTCAATAGATTTTAGAATTTTTGTTGTTTTATGAACAAGATTCGAAAATGTGTATATTAAATTTCTCTTGAACCTTCTCTTGGTATCAAATATAACCTTGAATTTAGACATACTAAAACATGTTTAGTAAAAATTTTAATTATCTTCAATAGGATGTAACAATAAAAGTTCTTGAAAATTGTAATACAATAGTTGCTTCATCACTTGAACAAACAAATTGGTTACGTAAAAATTTACAAGTACGTATTACACAATCCGAGCCAAATACTCAACGAATAACTACTGATTCATTCAATGAACTCGATCGTAGTCTTAATAATGAAAATACTTCTTTAGATTTTGATGGTTAGTTTTATTCAAGAAAATTTTTTTGTAATGAAAACAAAAAAAAAGAAAAAAATTATTTTCATATAGATAATTCACAATCAATGAATTCTAGTTTAATAGCCTTAACAATACTTGCTGAACATATTACAAAATTACTTGATATTATTTATAATTTAACCGATGAAAAAGATCGTATTATAGGACCATATTTACAAAATCTTGTAAATAATGTTATGCCATATGTTCGTATACATGTTTCATTAAATGTACCATCGTATCGTTCAGCATCGATTTTACTTCTGAATATATCACAATATTCATATACAAAAAAAACATGGAAAAAAGAAGTATTTGAACATTTATTTGATATAGGATTTTTTCAAGTTGATTTATTAACATTAAATTTATGGAAAATAATTATTAGTAATATGATAACAGATGAAAAACCAACATCATTTCGTGATGTTATGAATAGAATAAATGCCGTTCAAACAGGTTTATTATTTTCAAAAGAACAAGAATATGAACAACGTGTTATGCTTATTAAACGTTTTGCTTTTGTTATTTATTCATCAGAAAAAGATCAATGTAATCGACATTTACCAGATATACTTGAATGTATTGCTGATTTACTTAAATTACCACAAGTACCAATAGTATATACACAAATATATCTTGTTTTTCGTGCTTTATTAATAAGAATATCAAATAAAAATTTAATTTCATTTTGGCCAATACTTATTGCAGAACTTATACAAATTTTATTACAACTTGAACAAGATCTTTTATTTGATATTGAAGGTGATATTAAGTGAGTAAAAGTTCATTTTACTTAATTAATTTTCTTAGATTTCGATGACTGATTAAATCTAACAAAAATCAAAGAGTCTTATAAAAAATCAAGGGGAAAATGTTCTAAGCTATTCAGGTCAATAATTCCGGCGCCCGGATCCGTGGATTTTTGGCAGATTCCTGCCGTAAGTCTCGGAAAAATCATAGGAATTTGGTGGTTAGATTTTTCTAGGTTCGGTGGTAACCGAGCAGAACTGGTCACTGGGATTCGTACTTCGAAATACCTGCCATTTTCTGATCGGAAACAGCACGTATTTCTTGACTTAGGTAGTGAAATTAAATTTTCTTTTCCATTATGTAAATCTTTCCTTACGGAATCAAGTTTTTTTCATGTTCGTGCACTTTTTCAGATTGAATGAAATGTTTAGTCAAAATATCTGTTTGATTGAAAATTCACAACTTTTCATTAATGAGTTATGAAAATACAATGATATTCATGCTTCATGGATCATTACACTAACATTATTAAGATTGTACGACAGCATTAATTAGAAATCTCAAATTCGGCAATGCTCTTACCACTAAAGCTAAATTTTGACAAGAATTGGACTAGGCATTAATATCGATTTTAGCTTTATTAAGTGTTGAAATCTGAATCTAATGTCATTTTTAGTCTGAACCTATCTACAATGTATTCATCTATTATTTCTTCTCGTTCGTTAACATAACAGAAATACAAATTTTTCATTTGTCAGTTCCAATTAGGGATGCAATGGATGACAATGCATCGATGGTTCACTGTCATCATTGCATCCATAGTTCAAATCTCGTAAACATGCCACAAAAGTTACATAATTAATCTTTTTCATGTGCAATTATTAATTACTTAGATATATTCTTTTTATTTATAAAATTCATTACTTCAACAATAGAATTTTTGTTTAACTCTTGAGAGATATTTCATATGATCCATAATTGTTATTTAGATCAAATATTCAACGAATGACTACAAGTGATATAACATTAACAAATATTTCAAATGGATCATCTGATTCAAATCCTTTATTAAAAATGTATTTATATGCTTGTAAATTACTTGATATTCTTCTAGCAATACCCTATTCAGAATTATATCATTTTCAATTGTAAATAAATGAAAATTTTTTTTTTTATTTAAATTTTTAAAATTTTCAATTTATTTTATAGATTTCGATCTGCATTTGTTACTGATCATAATATAACGAATTCTAATTCCCATATTGATATATTTATTACTTTTTCAATACGTTTATTTAAATTACTTGAAAAAAAACTTCAATTAATGCCAATATCTATACATAATCAATTACCAATAATCAAAAATTTAAATCATCCATTAATTCGTTTACGAACAATATCAAATATTATTGAATTATTTCCATTTTTTAATTGTTTAACTAAAATGCACACGAATGACAATTTATATTTAAACAATGAACAAATTTTATTATCAGATACAATGAATGAAATTGAAACAAGTGTACTTGAAGATTTTATTGAATCATGACTTTAATTTAACTTTTCTAGTCTTTTTATTTAATTTATTATTTTTTTAATTCATCTATTTTTCTTTTGTATTGAGTAATTCAAACAGTAATTAATTGTTAATGATTTTCTATTTTGCATATTTTTTTTTATGATTCCTTTTATAAAATAAAAGGTCTTTCAAGAAGAAAAAAAAAGATGTTCTTGCTCTATATTTACAATTACAACAATATTAATTATTGAAAAGTTAAAAAATATGAATCATCGTGTTTGTTTAAAATGTCATACTCATATGTCTAATCTTGATAATCATAGTTAGTTTGACATGTGCTCGTCAGATGAGTATCAACAGAACTAATTAAACTGAGTAAGAATAGCTTAGACATTATCAAATAAAATCATCAAACTATGAAAGGATGGACCGAAAGTTTTGAGACAAAATGTTTCTTCATTTTTCGACCGATTAAGATTGGCTATAAAATATTGGCTTACAATGAGAATTTTCCACTCTTTTCCAATCTAGATTTGGAATAGTTGTGAGTGTGATTGTTGGAATTCTGTTGATCCACCCACCAAATATTTAGAGGAAAATTTATTCTAGTGGATTTATTATATTTTTTAAAGGATTATTCGAAGAAAAAGATGTGTCATAGCAGTAATTCTATTCATCGTGATCTCGTTTTGATCTTTAGTGGTAAGAAGACGTGTTTAGACTTGAATATTTTTCGTATGATTATTGTAAGTTACAATCTATTCGAAATGATTTTGTCAACTACTGCAATGAAATACACTTGTACAAATGTATTTTAAGACGATGTCATTTATTATGTTCTTTGAGAAATTCTATTAATAAAATGTAAAAATCAAAGAAATGTTATATTCTTAAAAATATTCGACATTTATCCATAGAAAATTTCGTTAATAAATAAATTATAAGACAATCGATCTATCTTATTTTATTAATTAAATTTACATTAAATCAATAATCATTTAGCGATTAAAACATATAGTGATAGAAAAAAAAACAGACAATGAATCATCACTTGATCTAATCGAATAAGTCTATCACTATAATATGCCAACGCAGAACTGTTCTACATAAGAAAAAAGTTCGAGAAGTACAAATACTATTCTCTCAAGGGATAGAACATAATCAATAAATGAAGAATCATCAATAATATTATAATATTCCGTGCTAGAAAAAATCTTGTAGACAATTACTTAATATTAACAGTTGTCTATATTCATACTTAAATATAGAATCAAAAAGAAAAAAAGAACGATTTCCATAGTTTTTATTAAAATCATATATACAAAACCAATATGTTTTTTTTTAAATAGATTTATTGATTAAAAAAAAAAGTATGTGACAGTCAAAACATTGATCTGGCTTTTTTAAGCTAAACTAATCATTTAAATGTAACAATTTCCTTTGGATGAAACATTATTATAATAAATCTTGACGATCAACTTCAAGACATTTGTTACTTTTAGTTTTCATATTTATTCAAATATGCATTTAAATATTGGAATATTCAAAAGTTAAATTTAAGTTATATATATATATATATTTTTTCTTTCTTCTAAATATTTCTATTTGGACTATTAGTTGG